TGATCGCATTTGGACACAATCAATTGAAAATTGTATGGATACTACGAAAACAATTGATGTATTAACAGACCCGCCGGAAGTTCTTACCCATTACAGGAAATTACATGAAAAACATCAACAGAAGAACACCTTGGACTTGCCGATGTCAATAATGTTATTTAAACATGAGAAGAGTAACTTTTGTAATGCAAGATTAAATAATATTATTATTATTGCACTTATATTTGTAAATATTTGATTTGTTGAAATCTTTGGGAAATCCGAGTGTCAGGGACGTATCAAGGGTAATTTTTGGTTTATTGCCCGTGTCTTCGAGAGTAAAATCAATCTTAACCCAAAACAGTTATTGTTTAAATTAATTTGCAAAATTGTTATCTATCACAGAAGAAATACTTCATGTATTTTTTCTAAAATTATTCTTTTCCAACCACCCGCCCCTGGTAATTAAGCAATTTTCTATGGCTAATAGGACAATTTGTAAAAGTTTGTAGAAAATATTCCCCAAAAGGTTCAAAACGGTCGTGTTCTTCATTTGTTATTATTAACATTTTTATTTGACATTAGATTTGTATCAAATAAAGATGCATTACTTTTACTCTCAACTCCATTTGTATAAAAATGGCCAAATTGGATTGACCATCGATGGATAATAATTTTAATGGACTGCAATTTAGTTGCGAAACTGATGTTTTAGAGCAGCATAACTTGTTTTGAAAGTTGATGCACTTGAATACACTTATGCGATTCTATCAAAAATCGCACGCAGTTTTTTACCTATATGTTAGCTGTATCAACTAAAAATAATTAACAAACGCACCAATTAAATTAGGTACAATGACTTAAAACAACTTCAGAACAAAAGACAAACATTACGAAAAATGAAACAGTATAGGTAATTTTCAGTGTCGCTTACGAAAATTACTCAGTAGTACCCTGTAGGTACACTCCATGGAATTTTTTTGTTTCGTCTCAATCGATAGAANATATAATAAACAATTTAATTAAATAATCCTTGAGTAAACATAAAACTATTAATTCTGGGCCATAAAATTCGTTTGTCTTTCAACGTTTGCAAATTGGTTTTTTTTTGTTAGGTAGGTACTTACAGTAAATAGATAATTTTTGAAAAAAAGGCTTATGTAATCCAAACACAGCCTTGAACACTTCTCAGCAAATATTTTAAAATTTTCTAAAAACCCAAACAGGTCCAAAAAGAATACATTAACAATAATTTTATAAAAAAGCTCTCTATTAGTTTTATTCAAAGTTGACCTTGCAAAAAGTAAACGAGATAATTTTTGATTGAATAGAGGCAACAATGTATCAACGTAATTTGTTTATCGTTTATGGTATAAAATCTAATTGAATAGGTACTCATCATTAAATTTCATTTTTGACTTTAAATCATGGACATACAAAGGTTTTACCATAATTGAAGTAAAGCAAAAACAAACGACATAGGATCATTGTGAAAAATCCTAGTGATCTTCAACTTTTTATTCATTTTTAACTTCTTTTGTTTCAGATTATGGGATGAATTAAACAATTACTATTTTCAAACAATTGCACTAGTAACAAAATCAAAGACAAAAGGCTTTTGTTTGACCTTTGTTCTATAAAAAGGAAAGTAATTGTAGTAAAAACAATTACACTTATTAGCATATTTAAAAAGGAAAAATGTTCTCTGGGAAAGCACGGTTGCCAACATAAAAAATCGGTATATTCGCTCTACGAAACTAACAGAACAATTACTTTAATATCTAATAAATAATTAATTGAGATTGACTCATTCTGTCGTGAGTGAATTTTAAAACAAAAGTAGAATAATAATATAATGGAAATCATAGAATCCCGTCCATTTCCTGACGATGTCACGTCGAACGATGACGAAACAAGCAGCGCTAACACTGAAGATGCACTGATTAGCGCTCGAAACAGTAGCGAAACAATTAATTCTACCACCAACAGAAACAACATTGGCTGTTGTGTAACTGATGAAAAGAAGATCACTTTTTGTGGTAAGTATCTCATATTATACAGGGCGTTGCGCGATAAAAAGGATCACAACTCATACAACTGTCGATATTCTGTTTAATTGGATTAATTAATTAACGGATCTGTTAAGATATCTATTTAGTAAGTTTTCAAAAAAAAAAAAACCTTGTGACACTTTGCTTAACCTCCTTTTTTAAATTACAGTTTTACAGTTCCGAACAAAATTTATTATTACAATGTAATAAAATTGAAAAATTTAGAAGGTTGTTATAATAATGGTTTTAGTAAGATAGATTTTATAATCTCTACAAATACGAGGATCGCCCAACAAATCATCGTATGATGCAATATTAAAGCGTTTCTACTAGGAAAAGATTATTTTCTGTAACGTGTGAATTTCTCATAAGAAACTATATTATGAGAAACTTGTGCGACAAAATTGAAAATTTGAATAGTTATTGTTTCCTAATGGCCTTGCAATTACGGTTGAAATTTAAAAAGGCATTTGTAATCATATGTATGCTGCGATCTGTAGATATAAACAATGTACCACTTGCATGTAAATGTTGAGGTGTTAACAATATCTAAAAATAATGACACGGAATAAAGATTGGCTCGATCTGCTTTGTAATTCTTGCAAGTTATAGCTTAAGTATTAGCAAGGAATATTAATTGCTTATGTAATAATTAATCCAGGGTCGTAGCCTGCAGTTGTTAACGGAATAAATACAAACGCGGAAAAATATTCCTGAGCTTTTTCAAGCCTGTCCTGTTTGCAGTCTGGCTACAGGCTAAAAGATTTTAATGTTACTAATTACGTCTACATCTACAAAAACTATAATTTAAAAGTGAAATTTCATTAATCTGCTTCAATGAAACCAAAATTACAGCTCAATTGGCCTTTGTTTTAAATTGTCCCCGCTCTTCCACCAAAATTTCCAATAAAATTTTTGATGCATAAACATAAGACAGTAAAAAACTGCGTCTAAATGAAAATAATACAATTTAAAGATGATAATTAATTAATTTACTTCAATGAAATCGGAATTATACCGCAATTATAGTGGTTGGTTTAAATTGTCTCGGCGCCTCCACCAAAATTTTCATTCAAATTTTTTATTAATTGCAGATAACATTGGTGTATCTTTATGAATACGTTATTGTCGGTAATTAAATATTTGTTTACAAGAATAATCGACCACAATGAATGTCAAATTCAACCCTTCTCTCAATATGTACATATAAGAGACACAAACGTATTTATTAAGGAAAGATGTAGAATATTGTCTCTTTTTTTCGATTACGTATCAAAACATTTGATTAACTTACTGTATTTTGTTTTTCTTCTCAAAACAAAAGGATCATTTACTTTGTTCATTTGTCTGTTTAACAAATAACTGTTTTATGTTCAGTTTTACTCGAACTACACAGGCGATTAATATTCTACCATATACGTAAGGTAGTTATACATACTATCAGACTCTAACAACACAATTATTTAGAAACTGCAATCAGGTTCAATGTTACTATTACGAAACGAAGCCGTTTGCTAAGCCAAGGTGAAGAAATTAACAACGTGTTTAAAAAACATGTCCCCATTAAAAAAATGCACTTTACATATGAGCTGATAGCTGAAATGGTAATATGTTAGATTATTTATAAAAAGAAAAATACTTGGGGTTCAAACCTCACAAAAAGGCATTGTTGGGGCATCAGATAATAAAGTTGACCTTGCAAAAAGTAAACGAGATAATTTTTGATTGAATAGAGGCAACAATGTATCAACGTAATTTGTTTATCGTTTATGGTATAAAATCTAANATCCAAAACTCAGCTATATATAATTTTGGTTTTATTTTTGATAGACTAAATTAATATGATCGCATTTGGACACAATCAATTGAAAATTGTATGGATACTACGAAAACAATTGATGTATTAACAGACCCGCCGGAAGTTCTTACCCATTACAGGAAATTACATGAAAAACATCAACAGAAGAACACCTTGGACTTGCCGATGTCAATAATGTTATTTAAACATGAGAAGAGTAACTTTTGTAATGCAAGATTAAATAATATTATTATTATTGCACTTATATTTGTAAATATTTGATTTGTTGAAATCTTTGGGAAATCCGAGTGTCAGGGACGTATCAAGGGTAATTTTTGGTTTATTGCCCGTGTCTTCGAGAGTAAAATCAATCTTAACCCAAAACAGTTATTGTTTAAATTAATTTGCAAAATTGTTATCTATCACAGAAGAAATACTTCATGTATTTTTTCTAAAATTATTCTTTTCCAACCACCCGCCCCTGGTAATTAAGCAATTTTCTATGGCTAATAGGACAATTTGTAAAAGTTTGTAGAAAATATTCCCCAAAAGGTTCAAAACGGTCGTGTTCTTCATTTGTTATTATTAACATTTTTATTTGACATTAGATTTGTATCAAATAAAGATGCATTACTTTTACTCTCAACTCCATTTGTATAAAAATGGCCAAATTGGATTGACCATCGATGGATAATAATTTTAATGGACTGCAATTTAGTTGCGAAACTGATGTTTTAGAGCAGCATAACTTGTTTTGAAAGTTGATGCACTTGAATACACTTATGCGATTCTATCAAAAATCGCACGCAGTTTTTTACCTATATGTTAGCTGTATCAACTAAAAATAATTAACAAACGCACCAATTAAATTAGGTACAATGACTTAAAACAACTTCAGAACAAAAGACAAACATTACGAAAAATGAAACAGTATAGGTAATTTTCAGTGTCGCTTACGAAAATTACTCAGTAGTACCCTGTAGGTACACTCCATGGAATTTTTTTGTTTCGTCTCAATCGATAGAAAATGTTTATTTTTGTTATTAATTTCATATGTACATAATATACATTTTCACTTGTCGTATACCTGTCCAAAGCTCATGCATCCTACCTCTACTTAAATGTCTTGAAGGACGAATCTGACAGCGGTAATAATGTAAGTAAATAAATTGTAAAGTAAGGGTCGGGATTGCTATAAGACTTAAGCTACGCCGGGGAAGTGACTTATTACATGCGTTTCTTTCGCCGATTAGTGACTACTATCGGTGCTGTTAGTTTAATTCATAATCGCACTTATCTAATATCTAGTAGTAGTAGTAGTAGAAACAGTAGCAGTAGTGGTGGTAGTAATAGATCGAGAGTGCTGTGCTGCAGGATCGGCAAGGATAACAAAAGAAACGCGCTCGAAACAGTTCGAATGTTGTGAGTACCTAGATTTAAAATTAACAAAAGAAAACACAAAACAAAAGCAAAATGACTCGATTATAACAGAAAAAAAAAATAAATTTCTTAAGTGTAAATGATTTTATAACTTACTTTGGCACTTGTTTTCTCTTTTGCTTAAGTATTAGAACTACTACAGTAACTACATAATTAGCATTTGATAAATCAATTGATTAGTAGCGAATGCAAAGAATTTGCCAAACATTCACCAAAAACTTAACTTAGATGACCCTAGCCTCCTTCTGATGAGTCACATTACATAATCATATTCGATTCAATGCCATAAGAAAGCGGTTACCACAAATCGAAACATGAACAAAATAATAACGAACCAAAAACTGATTCGAAACAATTTTACATATCTCATCCACCTACGATACCACTACTGCATTAAAATATAAAATACGTTGTTAAAATAAAAACTAATTCATTAGTAAAGTGCAAACAACGACGGGACCCATCTAATAATAAAATTATTATTGACATTTAGTTTTAGGTTCCGTCTATTAAGGGCAATTATGTGATTATTACTACTCCTTGACCCATTGCACCTCCTGATTTAATAATGACCTGTACGCGACGAATTCCCTTACGATTAATTGTAATTCACCGTTGTTCTAAAATAGTAAAATTATATTTTGTTTGCTTACAATAAAACGACTGAACAGCATGTACCCTTTTACAACACCTTGGACGTTAATGTAAAAGACAAATCGAAAAAAGCTATTACACAATGTCATTGTGCTCAAGAAAACAGGAACTACAACATAAAAATCGAAACCTGGCGATTGTAGAACATTTACGCAGTTAATTGTCAAGAAAATTTAATAGTTTTGCATATTTATCAATAACAAAAGTTTACATTGTAAGTTTGATTTGTAAACTTTAACCTGCCAATGCTAGCAGTGACAGGTCATTAAAATCATCCCATTATTTGGTATTTAGCCGAAAACATTGAACTGTAATTTTCAATGCCATTACAGGCAAAAAGTTTATCTTTCTTATTTGCATAAGCCACTGCACCATGTCAAGTTCAAATATCTTGAAAGAAATTTTAACCTTTTTTAGTTTTTCATTTTGTAATCGATTAAACTAAATCGTATTAGATTTACGGTTTATTCAAATTAATAAAACTTAGTTCAAGATTTTTAGCGCTTGTTTTTCTAAAAACAAAAATAAAACGTCATGCTTTTTGTTCCGATTTCCTAAACAAATGCTAGGCAGTTGTTCATACATTGTAGACATTAAATGTCAACGCATCTTCATTTGTTTAATTTGTATAATTTGTTGAAAACTTGCATACAATGTGAGCTAGAGTAAATTTTAACTTTTGCCGGTAATCATAGCGTTAACGTACGAATAACTACACACATAAGCGATGTCTATATCACTGGCAATGTGGAGGATTATGCAATTAGAAATTAAGCGCATTAAATTCTCATGCACCAAGTGTAATCATCGTCAGTAACTTTAATTATTGAGGTGAAGGGTTTTGTTACAAGTTGACATTAAAACGGCGTACAAATTGTAGAAGCCGTAAAACTAGCAACATCTAGTCGAAATGAGGCAAAAGCAGTGTGTCCGAGGGTACCGAATAATAGAAATATTTGATTCGAATCTTCAGCTACTCTAGTATGTCTCTAATTAGCCCTCAGATGTGGTGATCATTTTCCTTATTAATTTCCATCGCGTGTTTCGTTCTATATCCATTACAGTAGCTCCTATTCCTGAATGGGAATGAAAATGACAGAATACAACATGTGTATTAGGTACAATTGAAATTCACCTTCACGTATAATTTCGGTAAGACATGGAATTGACCAATTTTACCTTGTTAATAGCCGTAAAAATGTCGGTCACATACTGACTTAATAATTGTAATATAATAATAACACACATAAAGCCCAGTTACCTCATTGTTATTACAACAAAATTAATTGTATTAGTGTATTAATTGACCACAAAAATTGAGAGAAAGTTTAAAAAGTCCAACCACAAAACGCTTCTGAATTTACGCGAACTATACAGGGTGACCTGCTTTCAAAATGAGTTTTATGTATACATAGCTCATAATCATCATAGGATCATCAATCCTAATACTGGATAGACACGCATCTCCACCATTTCCTATCCTGAGCTAATTTTCCTATTTACCTAAAACTAGAACATCCCACATGTTACATTTATTTGACTATTTTTTTTAGCCTCATTTCACTTGCGCAAAAAAATTGATATAGAATTACAAGAAATAAAAATTTTAACACTTCAATCTTTAAAAACTTGCAGTTCTTCAACTCTCAAGAACAAACGCAATCGAAACAAAAGAACCAAAATGCATTAAAAATTGAAAAAACCTCTACATTTTGTTTCTTTTATACTGCAAGTTTAAAATAATTAAAATACGATTTGTCTGACAATAGGTACATCTATTGATAAAGATGCCAATACATCTCCTTGAATTAAATGTGCAAGTATAAGTTTGGATAATTATTGTCATTATTGATAGTTGACCCTGTAACTGCTTAATATATTTATGCATATGTTTTATTATAATTATCTAATATAAATCATTATGTCACCGAAAATCCTCCGTGGAAAACGCAACCAATGTGTTTTCCTTATTTTAATTAGGTATATTATTATTCAAAAACATTTGGTTTTCAGTTAAACATTTGATATAAATATATTCCTATTTTCGAAATGGAAAACGCAATTTATCAATTAATTAACGACCGAAAAGCGTACATTTTAATTATTTCCTACACCTCAATAAACAGCGTTTGAGTTTTGACCCCAAGTTTTCATAAAAAAATTTATGACTTTGTAAATCTGACAATGTCAATACATATTTTGTCCCTAACCGCGATATAATAAACAATTTAATTAAATAATCCTTGAGTAAACATAAAACTATTAATTCTGGGCCATAAAATTCGTTTGTCTTTCAACGTTTGCAAATTGGTTTTTTTTTGTTAGGTAGGTACTTACAGTAAATAGATAATTTTTGAAAAAAAGGCTTATGTAATCCAAACACAGCCTTGAACACTTCTCAGCAAATATTTTAAAATTTTCTAAAAACCCAAACAGGTCCAAAAAGAATACATTAACAATAATTTTATAAAAAAGCTCTCTATTAGTTTTATTCAAAGTTGACCTTGCAAAAAGTAAACGAGATAATTTTTGATTGAATAGAGGCAACAATGTATCAACGTAATTTGTTTATCGTTTATGGTATAAAATCTAATTGAATAGGTACTCATCATTAAATTTCATTTTTGACTTTAAATCATGGACATACAAAGGTTTTACCATAATTGAAGTAAAGCAAAAACAAACGACATTGGATCATTGTGAAAAATCCTAGTGATCTTCAACTTTTTATTCATTTTTAACTTCTTTTGTTTCAGATTATGGGATGAATTAAACAATTACTATTTTCAAACAATTGCACTAGTAACAAAATCAAAGACAAAAGGCTTTTGTTTGACCTTTGTTCTATAAAAAGGAAAGTAATTGTAGTAAAAACAATTACACTTATTAGCATATTTAAAAAGGAAAAATGTTCTCTGGGAAAGCACGGTTGCCAACATAAAAAATCGGTATATTCGCTCTACGAAACTAACAGAACAATTACTTTAATATCTAATAAATAATTAATTGAGATTGACTCATTCTGTCGTGAGTGAATTTTAAAACAAAAGTAGAATAATAATATAATGGAAATCATAGAATCCCGTCCATTTCCTGACGATGTCACGTCGAACGATGACGAAACAAGCAGCGCTAACACTGAAGATGCACTGATTAGCGCTCGAAACAGTAGCGAAACAATTAATTCTACCACCAACAGAAACAACATTGGCTGTTGTGTAACTGATGAAAAGAAGATCACTTTTTGTGGTAAGTATCTCATATTATACAGGGCGTTGCGCGATAAAAAGGATCACAACTCATACAACTGTCGATATTCTGTTTAATTGGATTAATTAATTAACGGATCTGTTAAGATATCTATTTAGTAAGTTTTCAAAAAAAAAAAAACCTTGTGACACTTTGCTTAACCTCCTTTTTTAAATTACAGTTTTACAGTTCCGAACAAAATTTATTATTACAATGTAATAAAATTGAAAAATTTAGAAGGTTGTTATAATAATGGTTTTAGTAAGATAGATTTTATAATCTCTACAAATACGAGGATCGCCCAACAAATCATCGTATGATGCAATATTAAAGCGTTTCTACTAGGAAAAGATTATTTTCTGTAACGTGTGAATTTCTCATAAGAAACTATATTATGAGAAACTTGTGCGACAAAATTGAAAATTTGAATAGTTATTGTTTCCTAATGGCCTTGCAATTACGGTTGAAATTTAAAAAGGCATTTGTAATCATATGTATGCTGCGATCTGTAGATATAAACAATGTACCACTTGCATGTAAATGTTGAGGTGTTAACAATATCTAAAAATAATGACACGGAATAAAGATTGGCTCGATCTGCTTTGTAATTCTTGCAAGTTATAGCTTAAGTATTAGCAAGGAATATTAATTGCTTATGTAATAATTAATCCAGGGTCGTAGCCTGCAGTTGTTAACGGAATAAATACAAACGCGGAAAAATATTCCTGAGCTTTTTCAAGCCTGTCCTGTTTGCAGTCTGGCTACAGGCTAAAAGATTTTAATGTTACTAATTACGTCTACATCTACAAAAACTATAATTTAAAAGTGAAATTTCATTAATCTGCTTCAATGAAACCAAAATTACAGCTCAATTGGCCTTTGTTTTAAATTGTCCCCGCTCTTCCACCAAAATTTCCAATAAAATTTTTGATGCATAAACATAAGACAGTAAAAAACTGCGTCTAAATGAAAATAATACAATTTAAAGATGATAATTAATTAATTTACTTCAATGAAATCGGAATTATACCGCAATTATAGTGGTTGGTTTAAATTGTCTCGGCGCCTCCACCAAAATTTTCATTCAAATTTTTTATTAATTGCAGATAACATTGGTGTATCTTTATGAATACGTTATTGTCGGTAATTAAATATTTGTTTACAAGAATAATCGACCACAATGAATGTCAAATTCAACCCTTCTCTCAATATGTACATATAAGAGACACAAACGTATTTATTAAGGAAAGATGTAGAATATTGTCTCTTTTTTTCGATTACGTATCAAAACATTTGATTAACTTACTGTATTTTGTTTTTCTTCTCAAAACAAAAGGATCATTTACTTTGTTCATTTGTCTGTTTAACAAATAACTGTTTTATGTTCAGTTTTACTCGAACTACACAGGCGATTAATATTCTACCATATACGTAAGGTAGTTATACATACTATCAGACTCTAACAACACAATTATTTAGAAACTGCAATCAGGTTCAATGTTACTATTACGAAACGAAGCCGTTTGCTAAGCCAAGGTGAAGAAATTAACAACGTGTTTAAAAAACATGTCCCCATTAAAAAAATGCACTTTACATATGAGCTGATAGCTGAAATGGTAATATGTTAGATTATTTATAAAAAGAAAAATACTTGGGGTTCAAACCTCACAAAAAGGCATTGTTGGGGCATCAGATAATATAAAAAATGATTTATATGGGGGGAAATTATAAACTACTAAAATATAAAATGTTGCAGGTACAAAACGATACTTAATATCTGGGATAATACTCATTATAATAGGAATTGTGTCATTAATTTGGACACCGTTTGAAGTTTTAATGAACGAAAGGTTGAAAATGATGCCTGGTAAATGAAAAGCGAACGTTTTCTATCCAAACTCAAATAACTATAATAATTGATTTCATTTTTAGGTTTTCCCCCGTACGAGTGGTGGAAAAATCCCCCAGACGAAGTACTTTTACGGGTTTATATTTTTAACGTAACAAATTCCGAAGAGTTCCTAAGCGGTACAGATGTTAAATTAAAGTTACAGGAAGTAGGACCGATAATTTATAGAGAAAAACTAACTCATAGTAATATAAGCTTCAATGAAAATGGCACCTTGTCTTACGTCGCAACAAGGACTGCGATATTTTTGCCAGAAATGAACACCATAAACTTAAACGAAACACTAATCATGCCAAATTTAGCACTATTAGTAAGTTTATGCCTAATAAAAACAAAATCATCGTCATCATTATCACTTCTTCATATCTTGAGTTAATCTTCGTATTTTTGTTTGTACCTAGTCCTTCACAATCATACGAAAGCCACCCTAACACACATATATTTTTTAATTTATAACAAAAAATTACAATTCGATTAAAATACATCTAACCCTCCTCCTTTTTCATCCGGGCTTGGGACCGGCATTGGCGGAGTTACTTTTCATCATTATAATGTCATAAATCCAAAAACGATTTCAACTTCATTTGTTTCTATTTTACGATCATCATTTAACATATCGAAAATTGGCCTCAAATTTTTATTACATGATTTACTCCGATTTTAGGGAATGGCTTCGTACCTTTATGATGCTTCCCTATTTACCAAAGTTGCCTTTAATTTAATGGTGAGGTCACTGAATAGCCAGGCGTTGGTTAAAACCACCATAAGTGATTATTTGTGGAATTTTACTGACCCGCTCTTGGATGCCGCCCAAAGAATCCTACCCTCCCTGGTTCCAGTCAAAAACATGGGCATTTTACACAGAGTAGGACTCGCTACTACAATTGTTATTTATTTTGGTTCAATTTTTATTTTTGTAGATCTACAGCAACTTCGAAGATTTAGTGACAGTTTTTGTGGGCGCCGAACATGGGCACGAGAGGTTTTTCATGATTGACAAATACCACGGCTCCCAATTCGTCCCATTCTACGATAATCACTGCCAAGACCTAATTGTAAACTCTACTGAAGGTGTGGCATATGCCCAATTCCTAACGAAAAACTCCACACTACTGTATTGGAGAAAAACCCTTTGCAAAGTAACACCTCTCTATTACGAAAGTAAATAGAGCAATGCTTTACAAGTTACGAACTTTTTGTAATGTGTTAAGTTACAGGTGAATCAATAAAATTCGGATTAAACGCGTATAAATTCGAATTGCCGAACAATACATTTGATAGAAAATATCCAGCTTACTCTGATTGTTACTTAGGAGATCCTCCTTTACCCAGTGGTTTGTCAGATGTTTCAAAATGTTACTACGGTAGGCACATTACGAATTAATATATGTAAGTAAATGCTTACTACTTTTCTGTCGCAGATTTTCCAATGGCTGCCAGTTTTCCACATTTCCTTTACGGGGATGATATCCTGCAAACATACGTCGACGGATTGTCACCTAACTACGAGAAGCATCACTCTTTTGTTTATGTTGAGCCGGTACGTTGCAGGCAAACGTATTTTCGACAAGTTTTCATATGTTTAGATTTTGTTTTTCAGACAACAGGCATCCCAATGGAATCGAGAGCCAGATCTCAAAGCAATCTCATAATGAGGGAATTTACAGGGTTTAATAGTGCCGTCCAGAGATTTAGCAACGTTGTGGTGCCCATGTTCTGGGCGGAATACGTAAGAAATTATTAAAACGACAAAAAAAGAATTTTTAGATATCAATTGTTGTTATTCTTCTGTTCAGAATCAAGTTGGACTACCGTGGTACATCTACTGTTTGATGTATTTCACAGTTGTCGTCTTACCGACTCTCCAAAAGATTATAAGTGGCTGTTGTTTTCTAACTGGAACGTTATTCGTCGCCTTGGGTGTCAAACGAATCAAATCTAGGAGAAGTTACGTTCGTTACAATAAATCCTTGCAATTCGAAAAAGGAAATTATTTTTCGGAAAAATTGTAGTCATTTTTTAGTTCGATTAAAACCAAAGCTTTTATACAATTTAGATGAATTTTGCTCAACAACCATAGGCTAGTGATACGCCTAATCGCTAATAAATAAATAAATAATTTAAATTAAAAATACTTGATTATTGAATCACCTTTAAACCCTGACTGCTTTTTACGTAAAAATTGAATTGCTTTGTCCTATCGTTCTGGAAAGATTTTTTAGTTTCCAAGTGTTTTCTTATCTTTCAATGTTGTACATATTTAAATAATACTAAAAATGGCAACTGTATTTCATCTAAGAAACACGTCGTTTAGTCGTAACTAATTGATTATACATTCAAAAAGAGCGATAATCAGCTCCGACCTGAGATTCTGTCAAAAGTAAAAGCATTTAAAAGCATTTCTGTGTCAATCACGTAAGAAACATATGATTGCATGAAAAAAAAATCAATATAAAACATGTGAAAGAACTTTCCTTCTTCAAATTGTTCGAAAATGTTGTCTGAAATATTAGCGGCCAGTTTATTAACTTTAACTTCCCTTGTGTACCTCTACTACCGTTGGTGTTTCCGTTATTGGAAGAACAGGGGCGTTTACACCCTAACCCCCAGTATACCGTTCGGCAATGGCGCCAACAAAATCCTGAGCAGAACTTGCTTCGCCCTCGACCTTAAGGATTACTATTTCATCCTTAAAAACAAAGGACTGCGCTATGGCGGTCTGTATTTCGGCACGTCTCCCTTATTTTTTGTGACTGATTTGGACCTGATCAAAGATATGTTGACGACGAATTTTCAACACTTCACAGACCATCCGTTTTTTGTAGACGAAAAGTCCGATCCGCTGTCAGGCCATTTGCTATTCTTGAAAGGGGAAAAATGGAAGAAATTCAGGGCAAAGCTGAGCCCCAGTTTCACGTCAAGCAAAATCAAAATGATGTTCGAAAACATAAGAAAGTGCGCAAGGGGATTGGAAGATCTAATCGAAGAGACCATTGCCAAAAACGAAATTTTTAACGCGAGAGACGCCATGAACAGATTCACCACGGATGTAATAGGGTCCTGCGGGTTCGGCATAGAAATCAATTCCCTCAAAAACCCGAACAACGAATTCAGAAAGCACGGGGACCAGATATTCACGCCCAGTTTCAAACGGGAATTTTTCATATCGATTGCCACTTACGTCCCCAAGCTCATGAACTACCTGATCATTAATCTTCACGATAAGGGGCAGATAAATTTCTTCTTCAATACCACGAAAGAAACGGTGGAATACAGAGAGAAACACAATTACGTCAGAAAGGACTTCTTGCAACAGCTCATACAGCTCAAGAAGGCGGACAACGAGGTTACGATGGCCGACATCGCTTCAAACATTTATGTTTTCTTCCTTGCCGGATACGAAACGTCCGCAACGACAACGACTTTTCTTCTTTACGAACTGGCCGCCAACAAAAATATACAAGGAAAAGTAAGGGAAGAAGTACGTTACGTACTGGATAAATACAACGGAGAAATAACATACGAAGCATTGATGGAGATGGCATATTTGGACAAATGTGTACAAGGTAATAACTGAAGTAGTTTGGGTTATAAGCAAAAGTCAAAAATTTTTATTCTAGAAACGCTGAGAAAATATCCAGCATTCCCTATATTAAATAGGATCTGTACCAAAACCTACAAGGTGCCAGAGAGCGATTTGGTAATTGAAAAAGGCACGGTGGTACTAATTTGCCTTTTTGGTATACAAAGTGACCCCGAATATTATCCGGACCCCCAGGTTTTCGACCCGGAAAGGTTTTCTGAAGAAGCCAAAAGCACCAGGGATAATTTTACTTGGTTACCATTCGGCGAAGGACCACGCATTTGCATAGGTATAAAACTGGCACACTTTTGGTGTTACATATTAGAACAGTATATGTTTTTGACAATAATTTGTCGAATCGATACTGATACCTTCGATCAATTTCTAGGTTTAAAACTGGGAGTTATACAAATCAAAATGGCCATAGCATCTCTTATAAGGAGTTACAAATTTAGTGTGAATTCCAAAACCCAAATCCCAATGAAATTTAACGAAAAGGGGTTCAGTTTGACGGCAAAGGGCGGCATTTGGCTCAACGCTGAAAAATGTTAATTGTATCTATTTATGAAAAAAGTTGATAATGTTCCTAGAAAATATTACAAACAATTAAATAGTTTATTTGTTGAATAAAATATGTAACAAAACATTTAGTATTTATTTGGCGTTGTTGTTATTGTTGTTAAAATGTATGTGCTCTCGGAAAGGTTTTTTCTGGCCCACGCGAATTCGAACAATTTTTCGTCCTCCCCGAAATTCTCCCCGTCTTCCAGGGTAACGGGCAAAGTCCTGTACAACGTTTCCGGCAAAAATAAACACGCCACGGAGCCCATCATCAACAAACATCCCAACACGAGTTCCGGCAGGGGTTTCCAATAATTTGCCAAGTACAAAATTTGCGGACTGAAGAAGGTGACCATGTAGCCCGAAACGTGTATGGCTGATACCCCTTGACCCCTGACAACCGTCGGTATCAGTTCCACAGCATACTGCGTCGAGGAATTGTAGGCCACGATAATGGCGAATCTTGATATGATCATAAAAATTGAAAGCGTTATGGTACTGATGCTATTGACTTGAAAAATAGCAATAATTAAACAGAATATGCCGGAAATGAGAAGGGACGTGCTCGATAAGGCTTTGCGTCCCACCCGATCCTGCACCAAAAGGATAAACAGGCATCCTGGAAGGATTGTTATCGAAGTAAGGCTGAAAATTAAAAATGACGAATAACCGAATCCATTCACGTCCCTCGAAATTGCATCGTAACACAAACAAACTACCATCCTAGAAAAAAATGTACTTGTTCAATAAATACATACGACTCCTGGAGATATTAAAATGATCCACTTACGATTTGAAAATCAAGATCAGCGTTTTCTTTCTCAGTTTGGGCGTTTTGAAAAGAACGAAAAGGTTTTCGTTACAGGTCGAATTGACATTCTCCTTGGCATAATTCTTGAAGCCTTCGACAATCTTCTCGTCCAACTGTTTCTTATTGATTTTGGCAACTCTTCTGAAACATTCAACAGCTTCGTCTGTCTTTTTAACGCTCAGCAACCATTGGGCGCTTTCCGGGACCAAGAAGTAAAATAAAAGAACGAGAATGTGGGGAACCGCCACAGCAATGAGAAAAATCCTCCAATTCCCAGACCATACTGCCACCCATGGGACCATTACACACGACAGACAATAAAAGACACCTATACACAGGTTCAGACCTATCGTTCTCATGGAGGGTTTCATATATTCCATCACTACAATAATTAAAACTTCCCGTAAGTCAAAACTCTTAACTAGAATCGTGCGCAAAACTGTGGAAATAGTAGAGAAGTAAATTATGCGTTCAGTACATACCGATAATGTACATCATGACGAAATTGGCGTCTGTGGCAAGTCCGGCCAAAAATCTACTAAGACAAAGTAGAATCAAGTTACTGGACAACAGAGTCGTAAGGTTGCCCAAAAAGGCAAACATGTTGGAAGCTACCAAAACATGCAATCTTCCTATGTGGTCTGCCAAGGCCCCGAATGCCAGTGACCCAAAAACGGAACCTATGAAGAAAACCGATTGTCCCAATGCCGGTTTCCAACTGTTTTCACATATCAATTCCAGCTAGAAAGTACGAATTGAACGATAAGTAGCTCAGTACCAGTCACCAGAGAAGAATTTCAAGGTATTTTACCTCTTCCGTTAAACTGATATACCCATACGATCCATTGAAAGCCCATTTGGTACATGGTTTTTCAAAGACTCCACTCGTGTTATCGACACGGGTAGAACATGAAAAGACTTCCAATTCTTCTTCCCCGTTTTGAGGATTCGTCTCCACGCAATGATAAGAAGGGATCGTGAAAATAAAAGACTGCCCAAAATAGTGGAAACCACTGATAACGTTTATGAAACCAAAAAGGCCCATCAAGATGTATTGGTACTTCCCGAAACCACCAGCATGTTCTAACATTACATCTACGTCCACCAAGTCATCATCTTTGCAATTTTTATCACCAGAATTTACTGCACTCATCACTTCTAATTTCAGTAACTAAAATTCATAAAAAGTTACCATGGGCGCTTAAGTGAAGATGACTGAAAAAACTGTTTCCTGTTGAATAACACGTTATTGTTAACGAAAAAAATATGTTTAATACCTATCTCAGATCGTATAATTTACTTCATTATTCTATGTGTATAGTTATGTACAGCTATGTGAACTTGATGTTCCTGCAATTACGAAAATTATATACCATGTATACACGACAGCTTTATCATATTACCGAAGTAGATAAGTACATACACTTTTACTTGCAAAAACAGTCCTAAAATTTTAAAATGAAAACGAAATTCGCTTTTAGCGCGATTACAAGGCATAATTAATTTGGCCACGCTGATAAAAATTCAAATCAAACTATTGGTTACTGGATTTCCAATCTACTCCTCGGAAATTTACAAAAACAACACATTAATTAAGTCTTACTTATCGTTTAAAGAGAGTGATCGTACAGTGAACTTTAAACAACGATTAAAAATAAACTTAAATTTAGTATGTCTGCGTTGTTTGTCAAGTAAACAAACATTTTTCATGAACAAAATGTTAAATTGCATAAAATAAAGTTGGAAAGAACAAACGTAAACGAATTTTTACTTGAAATTTTCCCCTTTCTCTTTAAATTTACACGAAAAATAGAACGGTTGGTTATGAAGCACTACTCTCTGACCTTTTCCATTGCAATGGTAAAGAAAAATAGGTTTATTTCATCTTTTTAAAGTACTTTTTAAAAAACGTGGCAGTAATGGCTGCCTTTAGGTGATTTCCCAATCAGTTTCAGATCAACTGATTGCTTTGAATGAGCCCAACAGTTTCAAAAGTATTTTGAATACACCTAATAAACGTCTATTTTGTTTTCATCCAATCAGAACCAAGCAAAAACGTTCTCCATGTTTTTGTTCGTTTATTTTTTGATTAGAAGAGAAGAATTTGCACTGTGTATTTTCGAAAATTGATAAGTTTTCGAAAACTGGGCCAGGAAAGTAGGAAGACTTGTGTAGTTTTCGAAAAAGGACCACAAGATGACTGATATTGTGGTAAGTTGTTGTTATAAATACACGTGTTTTTAAATTGTTTACATTTCCCTTTTTTATTTTAGAAAAGTGAAGATAAGAAAGAACGTAAGGCTAGTGAAAATTCGGACGTTTCAGCTGAGGGGGACGTGGACCCCATTTTCGAACCTATTATCTCATTGCCAGAGGTTAAGGTGACCACTAATGAAGAAAATGAAGAAACAGTCTTAAAACTTCGTGCAAAGTTGTACAGATTCGATACAAGTGGTACTGATGGGCCAGAATGGAAGGTAAGTCTTTACATGCTATCCTGGATCTTGTCTGATGGGGGAAAATTTTAGGAGAGAGGCACAGGGGAATTGAAGCTACTTCAACACAGAGACAACAACACAGTACGAATAGTCATGAGAAGAGATAAGACATTAAAAGTGTGTGCAAACCATTTTATCACGCCCTGGATGGAGCTTAAACCCAGCACAGGATCTGACAAGGCCTTTGTATACACAGTCCTGGCTGATTTTGCAGATGAAGTTCCTAAAACTGAATGTTTAGCTATTCGGTTTGGCAGTGTTGATTGTAAGTGTTGATTTAATTGGCCTAACTACATAGGATTTATAATTAATTGTCTACTCCCAGTTGCAAACCAGTTTAAAGCCAAATTCAATGAGTCCAAAGAATTTGTCAAGACAAAGTGCAGTCTTTATGCCGAAGAAGCAGAGGAATACCAAAAGGACTCTGATATTGAAGAAAAGGAAGAAGATGAAGAGGATGAAGAGAAAGAGGATGACACAAAGGATGTGACAAAGAAATTGGAGGATTTAAATGTTTCAAAAGAGGATAGTGCTGGTGATAAAGAATAAGTGATATCAGTCTCCCCCTTTGTGATCATTTTATTTTATTAAGTACTCATCTTTTTTATATCTACTTAAACAAAGGTCTCATAATAATTGTTATCAATTATTGCAATAGATTGTTTTTTTTAAACTTTTGCACATTCCTTTGCAAGTTATTAGGTTTTGGCTTCCTTTTATTATTCCTTTATTATCTTCAAATATAGTAAGACTTAAGGTCTTGATCCCTGTAAATTTTATTATTAAAAATTGTAAGATGTTGTTTGGTGATGAACGAATTTGTGTGTAACTAAAGTATGAAATATTGCACTTCTTGAACCTGTAGATTTAATATTTTTATATGTAATATTGATTACATTAAAAGCTAGAAAGGAGAATATTTCGTTTTGATTTTTATCTCTTGTCACCCAATCTTGTAGGCTGAAAAATCTAAAATAATTACTGCTGAAATAGAATTTTATACATATTATAATAAATATAAAACTACGCCTCTAATATTCGCTTTTCAGAAGAAAAAAGACATTCACGTCCTAATTAAAATGAAGTACATGAGTAATTTTTGTCTTTAATCTTCAGTGATTATAGGACAGAAAAGTATTACTTATTTCAATAAAAGTTAAGAATAAAGTCTGTTATATCTTTATTATGCCTTAAACATTACTATTATAGGTAAAAGTTGCCATTGTGACAAAACCTCCCAAAAAATTACAGTTTTGGGAGAAAACCGAGTGTCCTTAGTAAACCTAGTCATCCAAGTGTTCCAATTTCCTTCTGTTTCCTATTGGTCTATTTGTTGTAATTTATGTTCAGAGGTACTGATAGTTAATGAAAGAGAACTTTTTTTAAAGCCCTTTTATTTTCAACAGAAATATCACAACTTTAAATCAGTCATTTAATTATCTATATCCCACGGTGAAACCTCTTGCTAATGTACATAAAAAATCTTACCAGTGCACTACAAAAAATTTATTACTGTATGAATGTGTAAAACCTGGACACAATAACTAAGACTTAGTCAATATTAAAGCTCATCCTTTTTATTTTCAAAAGACTGCAATATGTTAATCTTTTGAGACAGCTCCTCTTTCTTTTGCTCCTTTACTTTTCCATCCTTGAGGATTTTTCCTAATCTTGAAGCTTCTTGCTCCACAAATTTAGCTCCCTGTTCAATAATCTTTTTCATGAAGAGAAGATAAGTCTTTGCACTTGACTTTTCCTGGATAAAAGTACAATTTGTTACTATAAGATGAAAATAAAATGAGAATACTAACCTTCTCCTTTAAATTTTTTGCTAGCAACTCAGCTTTTTTCATTTGTTCCTCTTTATTACTTGAGGCAATGAACTTATTTGCAAGCTTATCAAATTTTTCTAAACACCCTGGCAACCCCACGTATATATCAGTATTGACTCTGACAAAGTTTCTAAGTTTTGAGAGACTCCACTCCTTATTTTTGCTTAATGGAAGGTCTATGGGCGTTGTCTGATTTTGTATAAATAGTTGAACGGTGGGTAGATCATCTTTAGACATTATTCCATGCTTTTCGGCTAGTTCTTTGTTTTCCTTGTCACCATAGTCTTTGACACCAACTTGAACAATAATAATGTCCTTATTATCCGCAAATTCTTCTGCAAGTTTTGTGAATGTGTCGTGTCTGTCCCCATAAGGAAAAGCCACATCGAATTTCACTAAAGCTGCCCTAAATTTTGGTACAATTTTCTCCCAACTCCACTGATCAACATTTACACAGCCTTTGCAAGAATAAGCTGTGCAAAAACCACTAAGGAACAAAAATAGGCCAAATAAAACAGTTGCTACATTCATTTTTAACAGTATTTTTACTCAAAACAGTCTACTTTTAACTCAAATTAACAATTCCTTTCAAATAAATAATTAAACAGGTAAACACGTCAACTTAAAAATATTCATAGATAAGAAAATAGTTTGACATGTCGAATTCTGATTGGCTGAAATCTCAATTGATTGCCCGCGATAAAATTGAAGTTGTTTTTTACTAATAGGTTTTTATTTCACAAATATTTATTTGGCAATAGTAAAAATTGTTATTCCTTATCTGCAGCAATAAAAAGATCATGATTAAAAAACTTGTGTATTATTTTTTAAGAAAATAATCTATAAAATAAATGTTTGGTATTGTTTTACATTTCATATTTTAATATTAAGTTACCTTGGAGCAATATTTATTACAAAATAATGTAAATAAATTTTTATTTTAATTTTAATACGATCAAAAGCAATTTTTGTTTAGTTTAGAGCCTATTTTAATACTATTTAATAAATTGCTTACCAATTTTTGATACTCAGTATAGGCAACCTATTAAAATACGAAATTGATGTGCTATAATGGTTGCATAATTTAAGGTATCAGCAAAAAATCTTTTTAGTTTTTTAAATAAATAATCAATACATTAACATTATAATAAATAACATATTTGTGAGAAAATAGTGTAAGATGTTATATTTATTATTCATTTCATTAATAACAACAAATATGAGAAATTTCATCTGATTCCTGTTAACTATTAGTGTAGAGCTACATTCCCCCAAAAAAAAAGGGAAATTAGTTTTTTTTACATGATTTCTGATATGACTTTAAACAACTTATGTCTATTTAGGCTTATTATAACAATATTTAATTCGTTACCTTCTAATTAACAGTAGTCACTATAGGCAATTCTGGTGATAAAGAATAAGTGATATCAGTCTCCCCCTTTGTGATCATTTTATTTTATTAAGTACTCATCTTTTTTATATCTACTTAAACAAAGGTCTCATAATAATTGTTATCAATTATTGCAATAGATTGTTTTTTTTAAACTTTTGCACATTCCTTTGCAAGTTATTAGGTTTTGGCTTCCTTTTTTATCTTCAAATATAGTAAGACTTAAGGTCTTGATCCCTGTAAATTTTATTATTAAAAATTGTAAGATGTTGTTTGGTGATGAACGAATTTGTGTGTAACTAAAGTATGAAATATTGCACTTCTTGAACCTGTAGATTTAATATTTTTATATGTAATATTGATTACATTAAAAGCTAGAAAGGAGAATATTTCGTTTTGATTTTTATCTCTTGTCACCCAATCTTGTAGGCTGAAAAATCTAAAATAATTACTGCTGAAATAGAATTTTATACATATTATAATAAATATAAAACTACGCCTCTAATATTCGCTTTTCAGAAGAAAAAAGACATACACGTCCTAATTAAAATGAAGTACATGAGTAATTTTTGTCTTTAATCTTCAGTGATTATAGGACAGAAAAGTATTACTTATTTCAATAAAAGTTAAGAATAAAGTCTGTTATATCTTTATTATGCCTTAAACATTACTATTATAGGTAAAAGTTGCCATTGTGACAAAACCTCCCAAAAAATTACAGTTTTGGGAGAAAACCGAGTGTCCTTAGTAAACCTAGTCATCCAAGTGTTCCAATTTCCTTCTGTTTCCTATTGGTCTATTTGTTGTAATTTATGTTCAGAGGTACTGATAGTTAATGAAAGAGAACTTTTTTTAAAGCCCTTTTATTTTCAACAGAAATATCACAACTTTAAATCAGTCATTTAATTATCTATATCCCACGGTGAAACCTCTTGCTAATGTACATAAAAAATCTTACCAGTGCACTACAAAAAATTTATTACTGTATGAATGTGTAAAACCTGGACACAATAACTAAGACTTAGTCAATATTAAAGCTCATCCTTTTTATTTTCAAAAGACTGCAATATGTTAATCTTTTGAGACAGCTCCTCTTTCTTTTGCTCCTTTACTTTTCCATCCTTGAGGATTTTTCCTAATCTTGAAGCTTCTTGCTCCACAAATTTAGCTCCCTGTTCAATAATCTTTTTCATGAAGAGAAGATAAGTCTTTGCACTTGACTTTTCCTGGATAAAAGTACAATTTGTTACTATAAGATGAAAATAAAATGAGAATACTAACCTTCTCCTTTAAATTTTTTGCTAGCAACTCAGCTTTTTTCATTTGTTCCTCTTTATTACTTGAGGCAATGAACTTATTTGCAAGCTTATCAAATTTTTCTAAACACCCTGGCAACCCCACGTATATATCAGTATTGACTCTGACAAAGTTTCTAAGTTTTGAGAGACTCCACTCCTTATTTTTGCTTAATGGAAGGTCTATGGGCGTTGTCTGATTTTGTATAAATAGTTGAACGGTGGGTAGATCATCTTTAGACATTATTCCATGCTTTTCGGCTAGTTCTTTGTTTTCCTTGTCACCATAGTCTTTGACACCAACTTGAACAATAATAATGTCCTTATTATCCGCAAATTCTTCTGCAAGTTTTGTGAATGTGTCGTGTCTGTCCCCATAAGGAAAAGCCACATCGAATTTCACTAAAGCTGCCCTAAATTTTGGTACAATTTTCTCCCAACTCCACTGATCAACATTTACACAGCCTTTGCAAGAATAAGCTGTGCAAAAACCACTAAGGAACAAAAATAGGCCAAATAAAACAGTTGCTACATTCATTTTTAACAGTATTTTTACTCAAAACAGTCTACTTTTAACTCAAATTAACAATTCCTTTCAAATAAATAATTAAACAGGTAAACACGTCAACTTAAAAATATTCATAGATAAGAAAATAGTTTGACATGTCGAATTCTGATTGGCTGAAATCTCAATTGATTGCCCGCGATAAAATTGAAGTTGTTTTTTACTAATAGGTTTTTATTTCACAAATATTTATTTGGCAATAGTAAAAATTGTTATTCCTTATCTGCAGCAATAAAAAGATCATGATTAAAAAACTTGTGTATTATTTTTTAAGAAAATAATCTATAAAATAAATGTTTGGTATTGTTTTACATTTCATATTTTAATATTAAGTTACCTTGGAGCAATATTTATTACAAAATAATGTAAATAAATTTTTATTTTAATTTTAATACGATCAAAAGCAATTTTTGTTTAGTTTAGAGCCTATTTTAATACTATTTAATAAATTGCTTACCAATTTTTGATACTCAGTATAGGCAACCTATTAAAATACGAAATTGATGTGCTATAATGGTTGCATAATTTAAGGTATCAGCAAAAAATCTTTTTAGTTTTTTAAATAAATAATCAATACATTAACATTATAATAAATAACATATTTGTGAGAAAATAGTGTAAGATGTTATATTTATTATTCATTTCATTAATAACAACAAATATGAGAAATTTCATCTGATTCCTGTTAACTATTAGTGTAGAGCTACATTCCCCCAAAAAAAAAGGGAAATTAGTTTTTTTTACATGATTTCTGATATGACTTTAAACAACTTATGTCTATTTAGGCTTATTATAACAATATTTAATTCGTTACCTTCTAATTAACAGTAGTCACTATAGGCAATTCATTACAACAAAATGCCAAGGTGTTATGAAGGTTGCATATGCTTGAACTAAATCCCGCATATAATATTTTAAATAAAATAAAATAATGACTATAGTAATCAGTCAGATTATTTTAATTAATGTATTACGAAGTCTAGGAATGTTTATATAGAAACATGTGATAACTTCTTTGTTGGAGGTGGGCTTGCGTATTAAGAGCGTTAATTTTATTATCTTTTATTGTAATTATTAGTAAATGCGGTTTTGCAATTATTTATATAAATTTACTTTATTTATAACTATATAGTTCTTTCTACTGATATCACACAACGACTTTAAAAGATTTTGGAACAAACAGCTGATTTAATTAAGTGAGAAATTAATTTATCATAAAATAATAGCGACGTTCTTACACTGGGGGTTGAATGTGCAATCTGAAAATTTCTAACTACAAAATTCTTTTCACTGATTTCCTACGATAACTTTAATCCATTCTGGAACATAAGCTAATTTAAAATCAATTTATCTAAAAATAATAGCAGGGTTTTTTATCTGGGGGTTGAAAGTGCAGTTTGGAAATTTCTACCCAGACCTAAAGTTCTTCTCACAGTTGCCCTATAACGACTTTAATACATTCTGGTAGTTTCAGTTTGTTTAGTAAGGGAGAAACTAGTTTTAAATAGAAGGAAAAAGTAATAAAATGAATCGTACGTTTCCAAAATATACAGGGAGTACATCGACGAAAAATATTTCTTAGTATTTACATTTTTATTTATCACTAGAACATTTAAAGTTCTTTGTAATAATAACATTTCTGCAGGTAGATAGGAAAATATGTACTTGGTTGTTTAATAAAAATAAAAAAATATTCGTATGTAATAAATAATAAAGTAATACAAGTCCAAAAATGTGTAATTTCAGTGGTCTGTGAACTTTTTGCCTTACCTGTATATGTACCTATTAAAATTAAACACTCACGTTGTGTTTTTTTGTCTTACGATTAACCCATTCTAAACGCAATTTCTTTATCACATAGATTAAATCGAGACTTATTTATCTGCCAGATTTCAACTTAAAATTAAAGTGCCTTCGCACTTTGCTATCAAACGACTTTGATATTGTAGCAAAACCTTCGCTGCTAATCACCTTGGAGAAGAAAAGAAGAAAGCGGTTCGAATCTAGCAGAATATCAAACTAATTTTTAACCGCGATGTGAACTTTCGACCAGGTTTACACATTTGATGTGATGTGTGATCAGCAAAAGTAGAGATAAAAAGTTCAAGCGAAAGGAGGGAAATCTAGTATATATCCAAGTGACATTTTACAAAAAAGGGTCCAGAAGTTACCCAAATATGTGGTGGTCCTGTTGTGAATTGTAGTTTTTTCTTTTTTTTTTTTTCGTAACGATCCAAGTTTTGAGAAATAATATTGTTCTTAATTCTTAATAAGTGGATTGTTAAAATGGATTTTGAAAACAAACCTTTAGACAATTCGGAAAAGTCTTTCCTTCAACCAGTAAGTGAAGCAAACGGAATAAATACTTAATTATCCTTGGTTTTTTCCTAACAGCTTATATTAATACATTTTTCGTGAATTAAAATAAATTTTCTGTTAGGTTTTAACAGTAAACGCATCATCAAATGGTAATGGAAAATATACAGTTCATACAACAAAGAGATCAGCTACTAAACAGGTGAGATCATACCTAATACATATTGAAATCAGTTTTTTCGAAAGAATGAATTTTATTATGCGTAAAAACAACAGAAACTCATTTAGGTAACTTTTTTAAGTAAAGAATTGATCTGCAAACATTTGAAAGAAATTTATATTTTGTGTGTTTACTTCTAAGTTAAATATTAAGAAAGTTTAAAATTAAATTTTGATGAAGACGCAGCACTACATCGCAAATTATTTACGAAGTCTATCAATTGTTAATAACAATCATGATTCATGAAATGATGTAAGAACAATGTAAAAATTAAATAAGCTCATTAATCATTTCAACAAGAAAATACAAAATTTATATTTTTAATAACTATTTTGTAATGAACTAGAAAAGTAACCATTTCTTTGCATCTTTGTTTAGTTACTTACAATTAGAATGTACCAAAATTTTATAAACAAGCTCATTTTGTATTTTGTTCTTTTTTGATATTAGGTTTTGTTGGGTCTCGTTGCAAATTTCACGTGTGTGGCGCCCAGCATGAGCCTAGGATTTTCAGCTATCGTCCTTCCTTATCTTTTAGCAAAAGATAATCCTTACCAGCTTACCCCCAGTCAAGGCTCTTGGGTTGGTGCGTATTAAAACAATATTACTTTGTTTGAATATGAAAAAAATTCCTTAACGCAGTGGAAACGTTTAAGTAAACATGCAAATATTTTTTGTCTACATTCTATTGTTTGCACGTTTTCTTTAACTGTTTCAAGAAACTTAAATAAAGAGAAAAGTCCACATACAAATAAACAAATATTGTTACTCATAACGAGTTCATTGCATTTTTCTAATATTATAATCTTTCGTCGCACAATTGTAGTAAATAAAACACTACAAACAAATGAAACGGGAAACGTTATTGAGAACAGTTTCAATTTTTTCAGCCAGTGTTGCTTCGATCGCCACCCCCTTGGGCTCATTTTTATCAGGCCCTTTATCAGACAGATTTGGTAGAAAATTGACTTTCATATGCGTTCACATTATTTGCTGTCTGGGATGGTTTGTGATAGCTGCAGCCTACAAAATACCGGATTATCAGTATCCGATACTGATAGTGGGCCGACTAATAACAGGGCTGTCGACAGGGGTGGCTAGCATGCCACCCTCCGTGTACATCGCAGAAATATCCAGCCCCAAACTGCGGGGCATGTTTACAACTTGGAGCAGCATATTTTTCTCGATCGGCGTATTAATCGTTTACTTATTGGGATATCTCAACAAAGTAAGTCCCAAGTTTAAAGAAATAAAGATAACAATTTTGAAATATGTTGTACATTTTTGAAAGTCAACTGAAAGGAGAAAAATACAACAAAAAATTATCGAGAGATACACAATTATTTCAAGTTGTTTGCAGACTAATGTGCAACAAAGAAAATGACGCTAATGTGTTTATTCAAATTAAACGAAAACATGCGATGTATCGTTTAAGAAAAGCGTCAGAAAATTAGCCAATATCACTGTTACGTGTACCTATCAAAATCACGTGGAGCGTAATCAAAAACCCACTAAAAAAACAGCTGATCTCTTAGCTCACACAACACAAAAGTTTTGACCCCACGTCTCGTTTTTCGATTCCATAAACCGATAGTAAGCAAATAAACATATAATTTTTGTGTACGCCCCGTATATTATAAGCTGAAAACATCAAAACTCACTGTCAGTATCCGAATGCTCATTCTAAAACAATAAATTGTGAAATAAAGCGATTTAAAGCGTTATCAAATTTAATTTTGGTTCACTTTATTAACAGTTTTGTTTGACGTCCCTTATCATCAACGATAAAAAGAATAGCGATTTTTTTTAATGTGTGCGTTTCGAAACATTTTCTGATGTAATGGGATGTATTATACAATAAATAAATGCCCGTGCATTCTTTTGTTGATAAGCCAGGTTATAAAAGAGCATCAAGATATGCTTGTGCTATTAGGAAAACTTATGTGTACAATATATTAAAAAGTCTTTCGTCGCTGTTGAAGTTCAATGTCAATAAAAACATATTATTGTTACGCTATACACAGTTAGTTAATAAATATGGTATATAAATAATGTTTCCACATTAAATCTATAACCATTTTCAGGAGGATTGGTTCGTGACCGCAATCATTTCTGGAATAATTCCCCTTGTGGGAATTCTTCTTGTTCACATTTTTATCGTCGAATCTCCCACATGGCTTATATCTGTTGGTGAATGCAACAAAGCAAAGCAAAGCATGTGCCACTTGTACTCTACCAAAATCTGTACCCCTCCCATCCAGCAAGAGATCAATACCATCATCACTTCCAGGCAAAAGATTCAAGCAGCTATAGAAGCCAAATACTCCCATCTCGAGAACCCATCGAGAACAGCCATATTCTTTTCAAATCTAAAGTATTTCACTGGACCAACATGTCTCAAACCGTTCATCTTAATGCTGGGGTTCTTCTTCTTTCAGCAGTTTTCTGGTACTTTCGTAATTATCTTTTACGCGGTCAGCATCATTCAGGAAGCGGGTGTTTTGATGGATGCTTTCATCGCTGCCGTCATAATAGCTTTTACACGACTTGTAGCGGCCGTTTTGGTCGGATTTGTCAGTAAAAGTTACGGCAGAAGGCCACCAACGATAATATCCGGGTCCGGTATGACCATCTCCATGCTCCTGCTTGGAAGTTACGTTTTGGCCAAGTCCCAAGACCTGCTCAGTGACGCTGTTATATCGAAATTTAACTTCTGGCTTCCCATGACCCTTCTAACAGTCTACATCTTCACGAGCACCTTGGGATTCTATGCGATACCGTTCGCAATGACAGCCGAACTGTTTCCGGCGAAAGCTAGGGGCATGGCTTCGGGGTTGTTGACGTGCGTCGCGTATACATTCAACTTTATAACTGTGAAATTTTTTCCGAACATGGTGAAAACGATGGGATCTTATGGGGTTTTCTTCCTCTTTGGAGCCTTCTCGCTGGCTGGTACGATTTTTGTGGTCCTTTGTCTGCCAGAAACGAAAGGGAAAACGCTGGAAGAGATTGAAGAATATTTTGGAAAGAAGAAGACAAAACAAGCGACCGAAAAGTCCCTTATGATCAATCACGATCCATAATGTATTATTATATATGTATATGTATGTAACGTGTAGCAAAAGTCATTGCCACACTAGAGATGTGTTTATTTCAGACTCGCATCCGTGTAAATAACTGTGATATTTATTATTTTAACATCCATAAACAAAATTACGAATTTGTCTAATTTTATTTAATTTACCTTACCTACTGTACAAAATTAATTAATTCACAACACAGATAATATTTAATGTCGTAGGAATAATAAAATAATCAAGCATCGTCAACGAAGCCTCTATTGGAACATCCACCAAGCGATTTAATATTTTTTTCGTCTATAGCCTTCTTCGGTTTGAAATATATATTTGTTTTAACCCCCTGAAAACTCCCAAGCCGCCGGAAACGCGGCAAAATCTTTTTGCTGATCAAAATCTCTACGCACAGATTTTCGGCTATCAGAGCGGTTACTAAATGTGCTAAAGAAATTGCCAATATTGTGATTCTGCCGTTGTACAGGGGCGGAATTATCAGTTCAAACTCCTGAGCCAGCCGATCTGCAGGAAACAATGTTATATAGGAACAAACCAGAGTGCTCATGACAATGCTCATCATAAACAATTTGTTAGTATACAGCGGTTCTCTGTACGGCTTCCCTTTGGAAAAAACTACGGCAATGATTATGTACTGAAAAGTGGACACACAAAATACCGCGTAATTTTCAAATCCGCTGAAAAAGTGTGGCGTCTCCGGATCGAACTCGAAAGGCGTGAACCAGTCGAATTCCTGGATAATAAGAAACGCCGCAGTCTGAAAAATTGCAATGAGAAGAATTTGTAGAATAATGGACATGAGAGGTGTGAAACCCAAGAGGGAAGATTTAGGAGGAGTCTTGCACAGAGGTCCTTTGTAAGCTCTGGTCTTCCCGAAAACAGAGGCAAACTGCAAGCCCAAGAAAACGTCAATGAAAAGAAACTGTAACGAAGTCAAATTGGAGTCGACACCGTACAAAATTATTACTGAAGTAAACTCTGCAAGACTGTAGCACACCATAAACTTGAAGACACCGAAACTAGTGACCAAAGCAGCTCTTCCTTCTCTAATGATGTGGACCACGCAGGATATGTTGGTTTCTTTGGAGGTAAAAGGAGATGCGACGCTGGATTCCTCTTCCGAAAGTGATATTCCCACGTGGGCGGCTTTAAGAGCACCGACATCATTTGCACCGTCTCCACACATCCCTGAAGAGACAACGGACGAATTGGGATCGGGCAAATCCCACTATGTAAATGAAGACACTTACCAACATAATATCCGTACATTTTTAACTCCTGTACCAGCTGCTGTTTTTGATCGCTTGTCATCCTGGCAAAAACGACCCCGCTCACGACTATGGATTCCATTTCCTGAGGAAAATATTTTCGAATCAAAGCCCATGTACTTCCGGTCATCGAGTAGCAATAATTCTTGCGAGATTTCCCTGACTCCGGATCGTCATTTTCCACCACAATACTGTCCATGACATCGACCTGCAGAACGAACATTAATGCTGAGTTTTTCTGGAAACTAAAACTTTTTATCAAATGCCTACGTCGTTTTTAAAACCTGCGTCGTTGTAAATAATTTTGTATTCGTCCGTCTCTTTCAGGTGGATGACACTAACGTCAATAACTCGTTGGCTCTGTTCTATTATACCACATTCCCGGGCAACACTAAGGGCTGTAAGAATATTGTCCCCTACAAAATGACTGTACTCAATTTGTATTGTAGTTCTCAAAAAAGAAAAACGAACAAAAGTAAAAATGTTACCATGTAGATACCTGTAATCATAATTGTTTTAAAATCAGCATCTTTGAGAACTTCAATTATTTCCTTTGTTTCCGATTTTAAACGATTCTCGAAAATAACGAAGCCAATAAAATCGAGATTTGTTTCTACATCTTCTCTGTTAAGTTCTGATGGGTCGTTTAGGTCCAGATCGTCCATTATCTTCATTGCCATAGCGATCACTCTGTACCCTTTTTGAGTATAAGAAGCTAATTTGTCATGGGAATCTTTCGGGACAGTTTCTGGTCGGCAAAGGGAGATTATTTTTTCTGGAGCGCCCTTAGAATAAAGTGTATGATTCCTGTGACTCTTTTCCTTCACTATTACGCTCATCATTTGGAGTTTCGACGAGAAATGGAACTGATGAACGATCTCGATCTCTTTCGGACACTACGAAAAGTTCAGGTTTTTCTTTTTTGAAAATTAATTTCGGAAACTGATACTCACCTCCCAAGTAAGGTTTTTGTTACTGGCCAAACTAATGCTGCTCACTCTCCTGTGCAGCTGAGGAGGCTTGGCCACGGGATGGACAGTGGCTACATCACTGTATTGACTTTGGGCATGGTCCTTTTCGTATAAAGTCCACCCGCTTGATTCGAACATCTTCGGAATAAACCTGTGTTAAAAATAATATGATTTCGTTCGCGAAAAGAAACGTACCTTTACATCTAGAGGGTCGCCACTGATTTCGCCATTTATAATTGACAAAGAATGACAAGAAACCATCCCTTTGATGAGTTCTTCGTCTTTAGGAATCGACCTGACGTCCTTTATGGCGTCTTGCAGGGATCCGTTATCAGAAATCACGACTCCGAACATGTCCAAACCATCTTCTGTTAAGGTTCCTGTCTAAAACAGTATGGATTGTTATTGGCGAAAAGAAATTTTGTTGGATTGGATACCTTATCAAAACAAATACAGTTTAGGGACCCTGATACGTTGATGTCACTGGAATTTGTGCAGTAGATGTTTTGTTTTTTGAGACGAAAAAGTGCATAGAGTTTTCCTACGGTCATGGCAGCCGGTAAGGCTGGCGGTATGACAATAGTTATGATGTCCAGAGCCTTTACAGCGATGTCTGCTCCGGAAATTCCTCTGTAACTCTTAAAAAACACGTCAATATTGTTATGTATAAGGTTCTAAGATCTGAATACCTTTGAGACAATTGTGTAAATGAATCCTACGAGTGCAATGAAAGCTAAAACTCCAATGAACTTGTAGCTGTCCTGGTCGAATTTGAAATCTGTTGGGGGTGGGTACAGGATTGTTCTGACAAGTTGTCCTTTAGTGGTTTGAAATCCTGTCCTCAGCACGATGGCGAATATCTTATCTGGAAAGGAACAAGTGCGGGTTTAGGCTTAACTGGACTAAAGAAAGGTGGAACTGACTCACTTCGACTTCTGGTTTGAATGATTTTAGTACCGGAGAATAAAGTGTGTGGTGCGTCGTCCCTTATGTTGTAGCATTTCGTGTCCTTTGGAACTGGTGTTTTCGTTATTGGTACGGATTCTCCTGATTAGGTAGAACAGAGGAAGGCGTAGATTAAATTATTGCTCGAAAGTAAATAGGAATTCCGTGCGTACCTGTTAGCATACTTTCGTTGACGACACAGTTCCCGTTCAGCAAAATCGCATCGCAGTGGAGAATTCCTCCTTGTTCTGGAATGACTAGAACGTCTCCTGGAACCAACAGGTTGGACTGTATCTCTTCCAAAGAGCCGTTGGCTCGACGAACTGTTACTCGATCTGTAGAGTGTACAGTTTTTCGAAGACTGTTTTGATTCTTGGAGGTAAAGAGAATTAGTGGAATCAAGATTTAGACAGCGTAGAAGAAACTCACTTTTTTCGATTCAATCACAGATGACGTTATACCAACCGCTGACATAATAACTATGGCAATTGTGTAATAATAATAAGATTCTGCAAACCAAATGATCAAACTGAAAATTTGGAAGATGTAGAATGGCGTTAGTATTTCTCGTAATATGAGAGAGATCACAGATTGAGTAGGAATCGATATTTCATTTTTATCATAAATAATCCTCCTGCAAAAAACATATTTTATAGAGTGCTTTTGTAAGTACGATATGCCTATGTCTACCTAAATATTTGTTCTTCTTCAGAAAATCCTTTGAAGTTGTAGTATTCGCAGTGTTTGATCCCGCTATCGTACCCATGCAGATTGATGAACTTCCCTTCGTCAGAATCCCATATGTAGCATAACTTCTTATGCCAAACTACTTTAATTTCATCGTATTCTGAAAAGCAAAACCCTTTTTCGTTAAAAGCTTTAACATTTGACTTAATTAAGTACTTTACCTTTCTCCAAACCACCGCCCAAATGTATTCTAATTTTTTGGGTTCCTTCGCTAGATTTTTTTAAATTATCACCGTGACTGTCATAAAAAAATCATCATTAGGTACATATATATATATATAGATAAAAGAAGCTATCTCATAATAAATTCATAAACAATACCTGCTACTGCTTGCAGTCAAAACTCTTATGTTTTCTACTGTGAACGTTTTGAAAACCTTTTGGTAAATGTCCTGAAATATCGCATGAATGAATTATTATTAGCATTTTTGTATGTTGAAAAATTATACTAACAACTAAAAGTAACTTTTCGGCCTCGTCAAGAAAGCATCTTTTGTGGGTACAGACCAGTTTCATTTTTGGATACCAGTAAAAGAAAAGATTGAGAAATCCCAACGTTAACACACAAAACAACCATAGCATATAGCACTTTAGCTGGTCCTTTTTGAACCCCAAAAATTCCTAAAAATTGTCCCATCAGTAAAACTTCTTTACCGGAGCTAAAAACTTACCAATTCTTCATCTTCGAAAAGAGTTATCAATTGTTTCCTAAGTCGAATTCGTTTCTGTCTTAAACGACTGTTGAACTCCATTTTGTGTTCATCTAAAAATTGAAAACATTACGTAGTTAGTAAAGATGGAAATTGCACATAAGAGAAATGATACCTAAATGGACAATTTTTCATTGTTAGCTTGGGGTTCTGACGATAGAATAATTGATAAGAATCATGTTACGCAATCAACCACTGTTAAGTGTAATTACCACCTATAAAACAATCGTGTCAAGAGACAAGGTCATCTAATTGCGAAAATCACTCTGAACGAAAAAGTCGCAAAAAGTACCAGTAAAAATATAATAATAATAATTTCGTTATGGGTACTTATTTTTGTATGGTTTATCTAAATAATTACAATATACAAAACAAATTAAAATGCAATACTAAGTAGTAAAAATGGTGTAATTAATTCCGAAACAGTTATTAGAGTACGTAATTTCCAATATGTACAAGAAAAGTCAATAACAAAGTGTTTTTCTTTATCTATTCGGCTATTTAAAATATGTACGACTACTATACTGGTAATTAAATAGAATCGTCGTTTGAATTTGCAGAAAACGTTGTTGATAAAGATAAATGCTTTACTTTGGCTATCAGTGATGAACTTGTGGTGAACCTTCGTAGAAAAATAATAAACTTAAACCTTATTCTAAATTTGATATAAATTAATATTAAACGTCTGTAAATATTGGCATCCACCAAGGCAATCTCGGAAAATAAGTCTTTGCGAAATCTGACAAAAACTAATTATTCAAATTCAAATGGAAAACTAATAATTGATCTTTTTATTATCGTAGTAATAAAATATACACCCAATAAATAGAGAAATTGGAATTCCTAAAATTTATTAATCGTTTCGTACACAACACACCATTTTAAATATAAATATTTTAACAATGTTATATAATAACAACAGTCACATGTTATTAAACAACAACGAACAAATGTAACAAAACAAATTGTTTAATAAAATACTCACCCAATTTTGAAACCATACTTTCTTTCGAATATGCAGGCGTTCACGTTCGAAGAAAGTTAATTTGGATAGCTACCTATTAAGAAACTATCTACCTGAGTAACTTAATAATAATAACTGTCACAACATTATACCGATTCTAATTAATATTCCTGACTAATTATCGGCTCGTTATTTGTGTATGTTTCTGAATGTGGGGACATTACGTACGAAGTGAACCAAGTTTTGATTTACACTGTGGAGACTACAGTGAATAATATCGTATACTAACGCGTGCACATAAAAAATTATCATACTTGTATTATTTGGTATTACATGTGTTCGTCTACAATTATTACTAAAGAATATGGTTTCTCGTTTTTCTTTGTCAAAAAGTTTCTTGGGTGTTTTATGATTTCAAGCGATTTTTATTTTCAATTGTTTTTTAATGATTCACGAAAAATTGGAGGTTTTATTGCTATTGTCCATTAAACTACACATTCATGGTTCGCAGTCGATAAATCTTCTCCAAGTTGAGTTTGAAGACTTAATTAGAAGCCAAATTAAATTGTAGGTACAACTAAAAATCTATCTATAAATAGTGAAAGGTTTAAAAACAACCGCAACCAAGACTGTACTGATAAATTCATTTTAGAAACTTCTTTGATAAATAAAATTGTCTTGTCTCCGTTTTGCCTCATAAGGTTCTACCAGCATATTAAGATGTAATTTTTTTATTGACTGCTTTTTGAATTTAATCGTAACAACAGAAAATGCAAATTCATCAGGCAGTAATTTTTCCTTGATGTTGAAATATTTTCTGAAAATGTCCAGGCTGAATAGGGAAAGGAAACAGAATCGGAGAATCCGGAACTCCTAAAGAAACCGGAAGCCCGCAGTGGCTGTCTTTGTGGGTGTCCCAACTTCTTTGCGAACGGAATTAACTAAAAGTCTTATCTAACAGTTTGTTTTGTTATGTTTTAATTTCATTTTGTTTCACTCAGTTAGATACGTCAGAAACAAACCAAAAGACTTTTCAAGAAACAAAAGAATTGGAGAATAAAGGAAGAAACCAACATTTCACTTTTGGGTTTTGTTGTTTCTGAATGAGTTACGGTGTTTTTGGAACTTAAAATTAGATAAAGTTATGGGAACGACGTAACGTAGAAAAATTTAATGTTAGTGCAGAATATGAAAGTAAATTCAGCTATCGACTCGGTTCGTTTGAACTTTATGTGCCATAATTCAAAACTATTACGAACAAACATTAAATAAAGGTAGAGATGATATATAACAAATGAATAGCAGGTAAACTGCACAATTAATAATAGAGCGAAAGTTCCTATGTTATACGATAAAAGTTGTTCTTCTTTTAAGTAAATTGATACTGACACTGGCATATCATTTTTTTTAATAGGTTTTATTTGCTATTGCAAAATCACCCTGTAGAAAGCTTATTATACGAAGTAGTACGAGTTAACACGTACCTAATACAAATGCAAACTACATGTGAAATCATCAGAAGCACGTGTAAGCTTTATTATCCCATTTTCTTTTATTTCCCGCCCTTAACGGAAGGAGTAAAATATGGTTTACGACGTTTCTATTAGTTTCCTTTCATCTTACAGTTTCGTCTGCTTTTGCAAAGGAAACAACAAAATAAAAAGTTTTGCTTTTGTTTTTCTATTGCAATATACAGAAATACACAGTAATACATTTAAGAAAAAGAAAGGTGACGGAACTTATTTATATACTTTTCGATTCAGTCTGAAAGTTGTAATGTCTCTTTAATTGGAAAACTTTTCAAATGTTTCCGTTTCAACGTTTACATTTACCGAACACCGAACACACAATAACTTTCAGTTTTAAAAGGAAATGTTGGTTGATAAGAGATAAAATGGAAAGTAAAATAAAAGAAATTAGTTTCTCTTACACACAGTAATATACACAAGTAAGTAGAAGTGCTATTGTTCCCACGCGAGAAATGAAACACAAAAGAAGGAAAAACAATTTCCATCTTCTTGATATGCAACACTTTAGTCAGTGGATTCGACGATAGACGTTCAACTGTTTTTTTTTTCTTCTTCTTTCTTCAAGTTGTTAAGCAAAAGAAAAACGTTAAATTGCAATAAAGTTGTGAGAGCCCTTATACGTATGTTAATGTTGTTGCGCCGTAAATCCCGATGTGCTCCATCTCATCGACACTAACGTCGTACCATAGTCGTTACCCTAGACATTCGTAATACAACAACGAATAGCGCTATTTGCTAATACATTTATAGATCCACAAAATCGGAAAAATAGGAGCAAGGTCGTCTCTTGTTCCAAACAAACACTAAAATCTTCTTCCTTCGCCTTCTGGGATCCAACGGGCGCTGCAGGCAGGACAGACGGCGCCTGGGAGTGACGTCACCCGATGCAGATAATTCGTACTTTCGAAAACCAAAAATGGCAATTTATGCCAACATTTTTCATTTTAAATCCTATACCTGCTTACCACACCTCCAGTGCTTTTTTTTGTTTTCATAAAATAATTCTAATTTAGCACTTAAATTAATTATTACGTTTTCGCTTCACGTTTTTGTCCAGCTCCTGTGGGTTTGACGTTGATGTAGAGACTGAGTGTACTTAAAAAAGGGGTGGAATTAACGTAAAAGTTGTGACATTTAGCAGACGACCGAAAGCTCGCTATCGGAGACCGTCCACGCTGAGACTTGGACATATTTATTTGTTCTCATACGGAAAGTTGTCACCGTCGTCGGTGTTATCCCAGATTTATTGGGTTTTTCCTCCAGGACGTGTATAACGCCCACGAAGAAACCATTGCGAAACGCCGTTTTCTCTGTCGCGAACTACTAAGGAATCAGCGAAATTATGTGAGCTACAATTCATAAATTATTGTGCCAAGAACAATAAACAGACAGCAATGACTTGTAGGTATTATGCACCCACTTAGGTCAGGATTCAAGAGATTTGTTGATTAATTCCTGACACATTTCCATCCATACCATATCTATATACTCTTTTCATATCTTTAATTCTAAATCTCCAAAGTCTCTCTTTCATCATTTCCAAACGGAAAAATCCTCTGGAATTGCATCACAACTCCTCGGCTTTATCTATCTTTAGGAATACACATCTTAGTCTTCTTAGGCTCTTGATGGACTATAACCATATCATTTGATGTATAAATCCGAAGATCCTCAATATAGCTTGAACTAAATCGATGAATTTTTGACTTCTTTGCCAATGTAATGTTTTCTTGTGATAACTGACATTATTTTGACGGGTGCTCTTAGTCTTGGATTTTAACTAGGCTTTAACGAGATTGCTGGGCTTTCTTAGTTTTGGTTAATGGAGTCTTAATGAAGTGTTGTTTGATTCTATGTATAGATTTGTTCTTTTGATATCTTTATTTCACGATAACTCATTGTAATCCGCAGGCTCCTTCTCATAATTTCAATACAGATTGCTCTAATTGTTTGTTTTCCTTTTGATTGATGGTTCAGTAAGACTTCATTAAAGATATTCTATTAATTGAGTTATTGATTTAAAACACAGAATTAGGACTCCCTTTGTCTTTTTCAACTTGCTTAAAAAGAACCAGACGATTAGTGGCGATCCCCGGTGATGATCGTCGATAGATTTGTCGATAATTTGGAGACGTTTTTGTTTGCGATTACGATGTAAACAAACGATCTGTCGCGTTTAGAAATCGTGACAGAACGGCCATTTGGAGTCTTATCACAAAGCTTAGGTAATAAATGATCCTGTAGGTGGCTGACTGAATAGGAAAGTTCCAACTATGTAGGTGATGATAAGGGAATCCCGGAGACGTCCTTTTCTTTCCCGTTCTGCTCATGGCATCGCCAAGATGTTTTATTATAGAAGTAATTATCGCGGATAATGTTGCAGAACCGAAAGCTCGTTCGTTCTCGTTATTTATAACTGTCCGTTATTATTGTTTCTGAATATTTTGAAATTATGTGCTTCATAAAGCAGATAATTGAGGGAAATGTAGACCAAGATCATCCATTAAATGCCCGAGGTCGCATCACACATCATTTACGACGTACAAAGTAGAAAAACGTTACAATTTGTAAAAACAAAGGAGGTTTCTCTTCATTTTTTTGGAAAGAACTTTAGAAACTGTTATGGGCTAAATTTGATTTGTTAATGTGTGCTGGAGGCATCCAAGAAGTTGAAAATTTAACAAAATATTCAGCCGTGTGATGAAAAGTTTGCTGGAGATTATAAGCTGGCAATTATAACCGCGTTTCACCCTACGGCAATTTACCCCCTGGCGAAATCATAACAGACACCAGAAGATTTGGCTGAATTAACAGCTAATCCCCCCGGTATCACCAACTTCAGCAGGAAAAATTAAATCTGTGAGGCCAAATGTGAACGTTTGCTTGGCAACAAAATTTGATTATACTTAAGTCATACAATTAATAAGTAAATTAAATGACTTCGTTTAGAAATATTACGATTCTAAAATTTGTAGCAATACATAATAACGTTATCGCGCGTGCATATTTTTATGGTGTTATATTCATCAAAATTGCTTTTGTTTAACGTCTTCACATTGTGCTGGAAATTTATGGGGTCTTTAGTTACGCTAGACGTGATCAAATTGCAAGAAGCAGTCCTGGCTGTACTTTAAGGAATAATTGCTACCACACCATTACATTACACACTTATCATGTACGTAGGTAACCCGATTTTGCAAGCAACTGCTACTGAGGATTTGTTAAAACTAAAGAGACAAACAAGACAACGGTGTATATAACAATAGAATTCAAATGTTTTTGCTTGCATTGTAACACTTGAGCATCATACTTATACGATGAACGCTCTAGAACTAAAGAGACAAAAAGACACCATTGCTGTTAGACATGACCGACTTAGTTACGTTAAATGTTGTAATCAATTTTGCCTATTAAGGCCTTTTAAATATAGAAAATCCATTTAATTATTTGGACAAATAGACTTTCACATCAACTTTCGAGAAAACGAAATTGCTTGTTTAACAATTGAAACGTACAATGAGCTTTCTATAAACGACGAGACAAAAAGACACCATTACTGTTGACACCACCTACCTAACCGTGCTAAATATTATAATCACTTTAGTCCTTTAAGGAGTGTTAAGTATGAAAGGACCATTGGCTTATTTTGGAAAATAAAGAGTACGTATAAAATTTCAATGACGTTTGGTCTTGTCAACGGTGATTTATATGGAATAGGATCGATCTTAATCTATTGTAGCGGTT